CTACAATCCCCTTTCCTTTATTCAACTTCTAACAAACAAGGAAGCCAAGCTGAAAACAATTCATTGAAATTAAAGTGGCCAAGAATCTTAAGCATGCCTCTAGTCGTATGGTGCGACATAGGTAATGGCACATCTGACTGCTCCATTAAGTCCAAAACTACCTTATAATATCTGCATGTAAGAGAATGTACATCCGAAAAACGTTTCCAATATTTACATTAGATACATTTTAATGAAAATGCACTATAAAAATAAAACAGCCTGTACCCACAAACCCATCACTTGCATAATACCAAACAGCTGAGATTGGGTGGAATCAAATTTCATTCTTTCCAGCTGCAGTGATTTTTTAAAAATTAATTTCAAGTGATAGCATTTATCATCATGTACTTTTCTAAAAGGAGAATACATTGACTAGTTCACTGTATTTTAAAGCTCCTGTGATAAAGCCAGGAATTAGACATTTGCATGTGAAAAGTTCTGCAGAGGACTGCTCTTAGGCCAGTAATTCTGCCAGCTTCAGCATAGTGACCAGTGAATAGAAGACGACATTATACACATTTCATTTCTACTACTTCACCAATAATCTGACTGAAATATATCCATTGTAGATGCTAACTGTATTTAGAGATTAACTCTATAAAGATCACAGAAGTGATTAAATAACTCAGTAGGTGACTAGACTCATTGATGTAGGGGATCACTTTTGGTCCAATGTTCCCAATTTCATTGCCCATGACCTTGGAGCAGAAAGTCAATATCTGTGCTGCTCTAAAACTGGCATTTCATTACACTTCTGCTTTGCTGCTAAAACAGTCAGTACAGCCTGCACAAGCCACTATCCTTTCAGCTGTCCAGCTACACCGTTTGTAACTCATAATGAAAAGCTGCATACACTGATCTATGAACACATATATCAGCATATCCATCTAAAACAGCTCTGCTCAAACATCATGCAGGTTTATAAATTAGTGGGAAGGGGCAAGATGTGTCAGGCACAATTCTGATACAAGATCTGCCCAGTAGTTCAAAGCTTCTTAAACTTTGCAGTGTCAGATGCTTTCACACTGGTGAACAACCTCATTTTAGAGAGTCTGTAGCATAGGCCTAGCATGATTATTTATGAGACTTGGATAAAAAAAGCTGCCCAAGACCAGGAAGTGAACTGCAATGGTATGAATTTTTCTTGGGTACAGGTGAGCTAGCTCAGCTGTAGTGGGTGTTTGAGCCTTACCTGTGCATGAGAGCTACAGAGGTTTCTATCAATCAAACACATCTGGAAGGTATTAAGCAAGTGAGCAAGTGCTTAAAATCACCTTCCTCCATTAACATCCATAACATCCCTGGAATATTACATATAATTGTATGAATAATGCCAAAATGGCCATTCTTTCAATCCTGACTGGACTGCAATGTCACATAGAGGAAACACAACTATGACTATTCAGTGTCTGACAATGGGGTTATCCAGAGAATGCCTTCCTTCCTGTACCAGTTGAGTGGCATGATGTGTTGTTGGTCTCCAAATCATACTAAGCAAGCTGTATTAACAGACAGAATTAACCAAGTGTACATCAAAAGAGATTAGTTAAAACTTGACTTAAAATTTGGTATCCAGCAGGTAGGATTTCAATTAGAGAGCCACTGCATAAAGAAGATGCACCTCTAAAAGTGAATATTCGAGTGTGAGCTTAGTTCAACTGAGAACCTAATTCTAAAAGATTTTTGCCCTGCAGCAAAAAGTTTGCTGGGCTGAAAAAAAAACAAAAATCAGATATATAGTTAAAGTAGTCCGTTTTCAAAGTATTAAGAGCAGTGAATTGGTGTTTAAAGACTGCAACACTACAAAGCAATGGAGCCTTCCAGTGCCTTGCCTGGCAGGAAGAGTATAGAATTGAACTGAGCATACACAGCTTCAAAAGAAGTAAGTCTGCAAAGTCCCCTTGACTTTTCTATAGAGGTGGAATTAATATAATTGCATCAAAAGAAGCCAGAGTTCTCACCCCACTTTCCTTACCAGCAGTGACTTTTCAGAAGGAGCAGAAAGGAGGAGAGGAATTGTAGAATGTGTATAGAAACAGAGTCCTGTAACGCCAGAAAGGGCAGGTGACAGGAGTGGCAGATTCAATCTGATTTGCTTTTATAGTTCCTCTGTTGCAGCAGCGTTGGCATCAGGGTAGTTTCATCTCTACACATCAGCAGCTCTTCTCCTCCAGTTTCACTTCTTGCTCTCCCCAAGGGGAACGCTGGTCTCACCCTCACCAACATAAATCCACATTTGGTATTTTTAAAGCTAGTAATACGAGCGAGTTTGAAACCGTAAAGCCAAGAGACTGGGAGTGGTTGGTGGAACACTACTCCACACAAATGGCAGTGCCTGGGTACAGGGCACTGCTCCCACCTTACTAAAAAGGTGCAATCTAGTGGAGGCCTGGGTACAGCCAGGCATGAGTAGGGTCAGCTAGGTGTAATACTACACAAATCCTTCCAACCTTTTCATCATTTCTGCTGACACCAGAAACTAGTATAATCCTGGAATACACTAATGCTTAGAATTAAGGGCATAGATGTGGGGAAGTGAGAATCTTATTTCTTAGCATTAAGCTTGAAGATCCATCCAAACTACCCAAGAAGAATTTTCCAGTAGACTTTTATTACTCTGTTCATAACTTTCTATATAGATGATAATTAAACTGTTACCATGTGAGGCAGTTAACTTTACATCACTGCTCAAAAGCAAACACTGCTTTTAAAGGAAATATTCTGGTCCATCATATTTTATTTATTTTTGAAAGAGCAAATTTTAGTTGAAGACACTTCTGTCTGCAGCACAAGACAAAGAATCAAAGACCAAAATAGGGATTTTATAATTCAGAGCAGTTCCACATGGCTGCCTATTCAACACATATAATTCATAACCAATCCCAACCCTGCTTACTCATTGTCATGTACCACTTATGGATTGGATTTTATCTGAAATGGTATTTAAATGGTCGCTAGCAGCATTTTAATATGAATCTACAGAAGTTTGATCACACAAAGTCCAATTAATAGCCCACAGGTCTATGTAATCGAAAGACCTAACTCCAACACCTGTTTTGTATTTAACAGCAGGTCACAGCAACAAAGGTTGATAGAATACCAGAATAAACCAAAACTCTGGGTGAATATTCTCCCTCCATTGAACTACTAGCAGATGAACTATTAACCCCATGATGAAATTAACAGGGCACTTGAATTACTTTAAGAAAAAAAGATGGCCTTTACTTTACGTTCATAACTTGCTTTCTTTTACATTTAATTTACAGTGCAGATTTAGTGTGTACCTTGGCTAGATCTGATACTATTCAATCCCCAAAACAACTCTTTAATGTCTGGATCAAACAGACTCCCAAAAGTGTATTTTTCTGAAACAAGTTTCCAGTAGGGTTTTACAGATCTCATAGAAAGTGCTTTATAAACTTGGAGAGCTAGCACCAGAAAAAAGTGAAAATGGTTAAAACCATTTAGGTTTCTGGTTATTTTAGACAATAGTTAACTCAAAGACAGGAGAATGATTTAGCCTTGACTGCACTAACCCTCCACAGAGGGTGCTCCTCATGTGCAATGCTGAGACATGACAACAAGAGGAGCAGACATGGCCTTCCTGAATGATGCTGCCATTGCCAATGGGAAATCTATGTCTTTGTCCTGGGTTCAGCAGTAGCAGTCATTTTTCTCCTTCTTAGTAGCTGGTGCAGAGCTGTGGTTTTTGACTTTCAGCCTGAGAACAAAGCTGATGACACCGATGTTTTTAGTTGTTGCTAAGTAATGTTTATTCTGACCAAGGACTTCGAGTCTCATGCTTTGCCAGGAAGGAGTGGAAGCCTGAAGGAAGCAGAGACAGGACACCTGACGCAAACTAACCAAAGGTGTATTCCATACCACAGCACCTCATGCCTACTATATGAACTAGGTGGAGTTACCCAGAAGGCCCAGATTGCTGCTTAGGTCAGGCTTGGTTTCAGTCAGCAGGTGGTGCGCAGTTGTATTCTCTTTCCTTGTTGTTCCTCTTATCATTATTATTCTTGGTGGTAGCAGCAGTGGTTTGTGTTATACCTTAGTTACTGGACTGTTCTTATCTCAAACAGTGGGAATTAAATTCTTTTGGTTCTCCTCCCCATCCCTCCAGGAGTGGTGGGAGGAAGAAGGGAGGGAGTGAGCGAGTGGCTTCATGGCTCTGAGTTACTGCCTGGGCTTAAACCTTGACAATCTTTGACATCAGTTCCTCATCTGAAGCAATTGTTCTGCCTGACACAATGCTCCTGATCCCCAAGCTGGGGAAAAAGGCCCAAAAGTGAAAAGCAGATGGTGTGTCCATTGCTCTTGGCTACATCTCACTATTATAGGACCTGCTGTTAAACTAAAGATGTGTGCAGGATAGTCGAGTGGTGAAAAGCCACACATTTCAAGCTAAAGAGTTATGTGATCACACAGACACATATGCTTGACACACATCAAGTCAGGGAAAGCTCCAAATACTAAGATGGTGATGGTGATATTGCCAGCCTGCTCCAGAGGAACATGCACCACTACATACCAGTTGATCTGGTAAAAAGAATGCATTTCCTTAGTACGGCTAGGCACAGTCAATGCCTAGAGACTAACATGACCTTAGATAGCTTGCATTTCTCAAAGTACGTTGTTACATTTCCATCTGAGCCTACTTCATTAGAAAGGAAAACTGAAATACAATGCATGTCTTCTTCCTCCATCTTCCAATGGAGGAATCATACCACAATTTGGTGTCCTAGCATGAACTGGAGCCTAAAGAATCAGCCTAACCTTGAGACTTCAATATAAGTTGCAGCCTTCGCTCACATGATAGTCTGAGAAATGCTGAATGCAGGTGATTGAAAACAAACGTGTTCTCAAATTATAAAACCATAATGAACATTATGTGTTTATAAATGTTTAATGTATTTGTATGTAGGCATACACATGAAATGATAACCCTCTAGAAGAACATCTAGATTGAAAACCTGGTGTCATTCTTCCTGAACTTCTCTCCCTCTTAGTTACCGTTACGTACACTGAGGCCGAGACAATGTTCGTCCACACTTACACATACACCACAATTGTTATCTTAATCAACACAGCAAGAAGTAGATAGAACTTAATCTCAACAAAGCATCTAATCAAAATAGTGTATTTTGATCTAAACTGAAATAGTCATTCCACCTAAAATAAATACCAAGTGTGAAGTACCATGCAAATACAGTACCTGTAAAGACTGTAAATAGCTGTATGTAAGGCAAAGTCAGAAATAGTAAAACCAGGGTTCTGCTGAAATGAAAATTTGGAAAATTGGTGTAAGTCGGGGGCAAGTTCTTGCCTATTTCTGTTCATCTGTGGAATTCATTACAGGCAAAAATGTGTGAGTTATTCCATGTGCGATTGTGTCATAATATGAGAAAGATATTCTTGTACCAACAGCTCCTTAACATGCCCGCATCACTGAGCAATATTGTGAAGGCAGTTTAGATTTAAGACCTCTTATTTTTGGGCATACCTGGAAACACAAATCACCAGACGAAACCCCCACATATTTCCACCTATTAAAATAAAGTTTCAGCATCACATATCTAAAAGAGCAGAGCAGGAGGCAGTGTTGTCGTCAGAGATGTAACGCATCAGAGTAACAGAAACTCGGGCTGACAACTGGCTGGATTTGTTCAGTGTTTGGAACAATCTAGTAGAAACAAAAGGAATTTAGAGCTTAGAATTGTTTTCGATTGTTATTTTCCAACTAGAGCATGAAAAATTAAAAAAAAAAACAACACAAAAGAGAAGAATCTATTGGAAAAGATGCAACACTATCGGCTTTGGATCAAAACCATTGTCTCGTTAAAACTGAAGATATTTCAAAATCACGGTCGATGAAAAGAGTTCAGACACCCTATTTATTGTAGGTGCTCCACCCAGTTTCTTATTCAGTAATATTTTACTCCTTCAGTGAAGGTTTTCAAATGATCTTATTGAGGATTTTTTGAAAAAGTTACGTCAAAGTGGTAACCTGACATCTAAATAAGACTGAAATATGGAGAAATGAAAGCTTTTTCTACAGCTTCTGTGCATTCTGACAGACAAAACCAAGTCAAAATACCACATATCGCTCATGCCCTGCAATCTGCAGTTGAAGGCTTAAACTTCAGCCCTCATCCTGAGATGCTCATGCAGTCAGATGCATAGAAGCAATTCCCTTTGAGTTCAGCAAGGCTCAGCCTCATGGTTTGGGGTTTACTGTACATCCTGGCTCATTCTAGCACAGCAGATGCCAGTATATCATGGCAGTCAGAACCAGAGTTTTTACAGCAGGTTCTTAACTATTCTTTTTAATTCTACTGCAGCTGGGAAACTGTTTGCACTTTCCATTAGACATCTTGGACTAGCAACAGCCTTGTTGCTAAGCCCTCATCCCTCCCATCCTGCCATACACTCAAGCCCAACATTCACAGTGGCTGTTGGCCAGTGAAACTCAGGTGTTCGTGGTCTTCCTCTCCCTACCACCCACCATGATGACACCGTAACGCACCTAGACTGGGGAAAAACTGTTTGGAAAGCAAGAGCTCCAAGGTTGTTTAGACATTGATCATGCTCTTCTTACTTTAGACATTGTTCATTTAACTTCTCTAAGTGGAGAGCTTGGAGAGCACCTGCAATGCAAATCCTGAATCATCAAAACCAAAAAGTGTTAGTCCTTGACTGTTTTGGAGAGCAGACGGACACTGTTACTGAGGCCCCAGGGCAGATTGCAAGTATATAAAGGCGCTTTTCATGGTCTGGCACACACTTCACTAACTCATTTTTGCAAAATGGTGTTCATGCCTTCAAATGTTATCACACACTTCCATCATCCTAATTTTTCTCAAGCCTGGTTACAAGGGACACATCTGTTCTGGAGGATCTAGAATTGCCCAAATCCTACTTTCATACTAACTCTCTGCTGCAGAATCTGTGGTGCCATGAGAAGAGATTAACCTAAAATGTCAACATATTCCTCATAGGACATAACTGAGGCCTAACACAACTGCTGACTCAAAACCACTACCTAGCTCTTCATAGAATCATACAGTAGTCTGGGTTAGAAAGACCTCAAAGCTCATCTAGTTCCAAACCTCCTGCCACGGGCAGGGACACCTAGTGACAAGGAGACAGGGTCTCTCATAGGAACACAGAAGATAAGCTTCTAGTTACAGCCTGGCTTGGCAAAGAGAAATCATCTCTAGAGGAGAATGAAAGAAGCAAACACGAGATTTCTCTCAAGTACACAAGTTGCCTTATAAAAGGCAACTGACCTTTCTATTCCTTCATAAATAGTAACAACAAATATTTACTCTTTTAAAAAATTGGTTGGTACCTAGCAGGAAAACAAAAAAGCAATATCATAACTGATGATTTAGAGCTGATATAGCTGCATGTCTTCATTATCTGTTGCTGTCTATTTACTGCAAACTTCTCAGACCACATTGGTCATCATCACACATGCATGGGGTGGCAGGGTAAGTTCCTTAGTCCACTTAGTTAAACTTAGATTTCAGATATTAATACACAAGGCAGTGAAAGCATTTCCAAAGATCAGGAAAACATCGTTTGTTTTTAAAGTGGTAAAACTATATGACAGCCAATCTGAACCTTCACAGATTTGTAAGTAGGTAGCTATAAATCGCAGTATATTCTGACATTCTTTACCAACTATAACATTAAGCTGACAAATTATACTAATACAGTATGATTTCAAGGTGTATCCACATTTGCAGCATGTGTAAATTTCTCAAATAGAATCCGATGTTTGCTAATATGGTATGATCTAAGTTAATAAGATCAAATTATGTCTGATCATACTACATTAGTAAATGTCACATCAAATTAGTCATTTTCAGAATTATAATGAAGCACAGAAAGCAACCAAAAATAACTTTTCCAACACAAGTAAGCAGTGCTGAAACTGAAAACTGAGCTAAATACCAAGCCCCTAGAGAATGCTTTTTGAATTCAAGGTTAGCTGAATTTTCAGTCTTATTTCAGAGAGCTGTCACACATTACTTAAATAATGGTTCAAGTCACAGTAGAGTCTTGTCCAAAGGTCACTAATAGGGGCTGAAGATAAGGTCAAGAACTAGGAGAAGCTGGCAAAATCTCTACTGAAAGGATGTTAGCTCAGGGGTAGTCATCCGTCTGCATGGTTGTGCTCATTGTAATGGCTCCAAGTAGGAAAATTCATTAAAATCCACTGAAAGGGAATTTTGAAAGAGAAAGCACTTTAAATAGGAAGTTGCATAAACACTTATTAAACTTTCCTCTTTTCAAGTGTTTTACCTGGAAGGTTGTAATTAGGCTTTGTAAGATTTATTTTTCTTTTGTGTTACTGAAACCAAATACCTGTCAGGTGTGCATTTAATATCATCTCATTTATTTTAAAACAGAGTGGGTTTGGTTTCTTTGAACACAGTAGGAAAACACTAACAGCTTCTTAGCTCAGGAAGTCCAGAGTCCGCCCTCAGCAAGCTCCTCAGCCTGACATCCCTGGCCATATGCTGGATCTCTGACCCACAGGCTATTTTTTCCCATGTTCTCCTGCCAACGTGGGAAGCTTCCTACACATTTCCTCCATGTTCCAGTATGTAAAGGTAGAAAATATGTCTCAAATACCCACATTTAAACTGACCTGTCATGCAGCAGAGGCTTCCCAAATAGGGTGCCCACAATCTTAAAGCCTACCCTAAAAATAGAAGGCTGAAGTCAGTCCTGTCAGGCCTCAAGGATGTCTCACGCATAACCTTTCCCAGAACCTTTAACAAGGATAAAAACCCCTGGCATAAGGCAGAAGCATAATGAGCAGAAATCTGAAGAAACATTCAACTGCCCCACGTTCACTGGGAACGAGAGGAATGTCAGCCTCTCCAAAGCTCCCCTTCGTCTACTTCATTGAGAGACTGCAACAAGAGGAAGAAAAATCAACCCAAGACAGCCCAGTAAAGGCAGTATAGGACAAGAGAGATTTCTTCTGCAAAGCTGAGCAGCCTCCCTGTTGGAGAAGGAATTTTGCCCCTATGCCACCAGGTAAACCAGTGTCTAGGATTTCCCCAGGCCATTGCATCAACTCCAAGAGACACAGTTTTTGTCCCTTTTGATGAGCTAAGAGACACTGGAAGGCAACAGATACTTGAGTGATTTCATTTCTATGCCGAGTTAAAATATACCTATACAGCTACAGCTCTCTAAGTCTTCTGGATAAATCACCTTTATTCCCAGCTGAATAAATTAGTACCAGTGAAAACACTGCAAGCTCCAAGCTAAAAGCACTTTACAGAAAAGTGTTTAAGAAAGTGAAGGCCAAGGTGGTGTTGGATACCTAAGCGAGCAGTTCAGTGGGTTTTTAAAAAGGCAGATTAAAAAACACACTAAAGATGTCCACTGTTAAAAGGAGAATTTCTAGCTATTTTCTCAGAAGGCGGAACATATGTTCATTATTGTGACCTATAGTGTTTAATATTAATTTTCTTGATTTAGTATACACTGGCATATGCTTCAGAGTATATTTTCCCCCACAATGGCTTTACCAGTTCCTATTGCTCATGAGCTTTGTTTATTTGCTTGATATTTGTTTCTTTTTAATCCAAGCTGTCTGCATGAATTTTAACTGAATTATGGGTGTTTATATAAGGCTGTCTGTTCAGGGACAAAGTTGTTGATCCCTAGAGAAAGCATTGTTCCTATCCTGCCTGTATTTCAGCAGATTAGGTTTAAACCAGACCTATCATCAAAATACACTCACTAGCACACAAGCTTTACATGTGTTTTAGTTTGAATGGAGTTGTTGTAATAGTCCAGCCTTTTGTTATTAGCAATTATGAATACTTCTGTTGGATTCTGGTATGCCAGTGGACTAGGAACCCTTTGTAGTCTTTAAGCTAATGTCTACATTATTCTGCATTTTTTGCTGCTTCTAATCCTTCCCCTATCCTGAAGGATTTTAGCAACATCTTACTGACATTCTGTTATGATACTTATTTTCCCTTGAGCATGTGGCAATTTCATTAGGTACCTGAGGATCGCATAAAAATCAAATGACAACATAAGCTCAGCAAAAAAAAAAAAAAAACAAACCAAAAAAAAACATTTCTACTTAGCTCAAGACAAAAATAAAAGCACATGGGAGGAGGAGGGGAAAGAAAGAGAAAAATAAGTGAAGCATTATTAGCTGCATTTTGTTTAACTCTTTACTGGCTCTGTTTTGTGGTGGATCTCAAATGGTGGCTGTGCAGGAAAGCCCGTAGGCAGATCACTCCTGACTCCTGTGGTTGTCCACAAGCCTTTCTCCAGCCTGTGGCCTAGGACAGGGCACTGTGAGGCCAGGAGTATCCCCTCTCCACTAACTCTGCTGTGGAACTGGCAGCAATAAGTGTAACTTGAAGGTGGCAACATTCCCTATTTTTGTATGGCTGCCTTTCCCTCTTTCATAAGGAAGCACAAACTATATGCTGTAGTGATGTCCTTCCTCCACCTTGCTCTCCCCATGCCTCCCACCTACTCCTTTTGGCTGAACACAGCTTGAAATTAAAGTGTTGGAGGAAGTCAAGTGAAATTACACAGGATTGGACCTGATGACCCAGAAGACACTTCTGGTGTTTTCCCAGGGAAATTGTTTCAGCTAATCCTAGAAAAACACAGTCACATGTCACAGACTGCTCTACAAACTTCTGCGATTCTGTCTCTGGCCAGATTAGACTGCTTTGGACTGCCTAGCTATTTTAATGGGACAAGGAAGAATTTCCACCATTTTAGCAGGGCAAAAACCTATCCTTCTCATTACATCAAGTTAAACAAGAGGTTCCTTCTCCTTGGGACTATTAATTATATGCTTGAGCATTTTCTGAAACATTATTTGGCTATACATAGACACAACTGATGAGGGTTGTCCTATTGACCTCTGCTTGTAGAATCCAAGAGCTGCTCTTCTTACAACCTCATTCACATTCATTTGAAGTAGTCAGTCAGAAACTCAAGAGCTTGGACATGTAGTGTTTGCATTTACCAGATAAGGAATCTGAATATAGCTAACATCATCTAAAAATGGGTATAAGTCAGGAGTAAACCACTCAAGCCAGCTTTCTGTGTAGCATCACTGTACAAAAGTTTGAATATACGTACATGTTCCAGCTAATTAAGCACAGTTCAACGACACCAATACAGTAAGCAGCATCGAAAAGCTGGCAACAAAGAAAACTACTTGGCAGAGAAGGCACTGTGTGCTGCTAATGCTGTATGAATAACATTTTAATTAAAGCCAGGTTTTCACAAGTCACAAGCCCCAATCTCTTGGCTTTGGCTTAAATCCTGGGTAATATTTCTGTTACACCCAAGCCCCCCTCTTAGGATATAGTATTGCTATGTTTTTACATACACATACACCCTGGAGAAAAATAACATCAGTAAACAGCAACATCAATAAAAAGCAACATCAATAAAATAAGCTTTTCATACATTAATTTATGGCCACAATGCATGGATGGTACCACACAGGCCTTTGCCAGGCACAGAAAAATGGAACGTAAGCTGGCCTTGTAGTGTGTCAGTACAGCAGCTGTGATGGATCACATTTTTCCAAAAAGGAGATTTTTAAATTTGAAAGTGGCTTATATAAAATTGGCTTAAAATGAATTGGTGCCAAATTAAACTGAATGCTTTCTAAATTCTTTCTTAGAATAGGGCTAAAAGACAGCAGAAACAGCTTTTGCTTGTGTTTCAGTATCTTGAATGGGATTTTCAAAGCAAAGCATTTAACTGGCCAATGCTCATTAGGTTGAGGTGAGAACTGGGCAAACCTGAATTGGCTTTGATAAATGCAGTTTAATATTAGGAGTAGAAATAAAAATTCTCCTTTTGTTTTTAAAAGCAAGTCATGTTTACGAGCAAGAAAATTAGAACAGGTCTTTGTTCATCGCAGGAGAATTAAGATGTATTTGAAACATGCAAAACCTTTGCTTTTAATTGCTCCAGAGTTACCCACCCTGAGTGCTTGCCCTGCCTGACCTTTCCAAGAAGCAGTCCTTCCCTCTAAAACTGTTCACACCCTTTGGACACAAGAGGCGCCTACATCAAGACAGCCATCTAGGAACAGACCAGCATCCAGGCAACAGGAAGACTTAACCAAAGAGGGGTTTTAGTGAACAGAAGAGTTTCTTTCACTGCAAGCACAGCAAAGCTCTGTGTGTCCTGGCTAGCCCAGGCAGATGCTACAATATCTCAGTTTTATTATCTTCAGCATTACTAAACAATCGATTCCGGCCTCATCTAGTGCCCTTGAATTAAGCAGTGTAACAGCATTTTCATCTTTGCTTCCTAATGAGCAGCTCTCAATGACCTTTATGAACCGAGGTTGGCCAAGTCTATTATTCTTTGTTCAAGCACATTACGCAGCCCAACAGGACAGAGAAGACTAGTTCTACTGCTCCACTTACTCTAGCAGCAACCTAGTGCTTATTCTGTGACAGGCTGCTCATTTTAAAACTTTTCAGCCACTTGTAGCATTAGATGAAATGCAGACCTGTGTTTAAGGCAGTGGAAGACAAGGGTGGCCTAGGATTTAAGAGACCATCCAAACCGTAATTTTTCTTCTGTTTCTTTGCCAAAGCTAATCCACAGCTGGCCTGTGCCTACAGCACAACAGACAGACAGACACAAGGTTCAGCCCATTCTTTGGGCATTCACCCCAGGGTGGGATTAGACAGACACATTCAGCATCTATTTTCTTCTGTAGAGCTGTTTGAAAAGAGACAAAGAATCTCCCTATTTCCCTCTTACACGTGTGCATTGATAATTAATGAGCCCTATACAGTCAAAGTTCCAAGAGACAAAAACCCCATGATTACTCACTCTTTTCTCATACTGTACAGACTGTTTTCCATACCCAGACCACATCTAGCTAGAAGAATTAAAATAAAGCCCTTCTCCCAGTCTCTCAGCAATTCTGAGGATTTATCCATACCTTATAAAGCTCCATGTTACCAGAATACTCCTGAAAGTCCGCTTGCTACTTGCAGAAATGAGTAGTCAGGTGGACACCAGCCTCTTCCCATGCAGGACACATGAAGCACAGAAGGGTTGCAGTGAGGTGTTGTTACCGGGACTGAGTCCTGCTCTGGGGAAGCTACCCCTTTGCTTGAAGACCTAGACATCAACAAAGACCACCTATTAAAAAACAGAAGTCTGAGGTCTGCAGACATTTGTGTATAAAGCTTTCTACTAAGATACCTTATGTTATCTCAGACCTATTGTTCTGTTTCATCAGTATTTGTTTCTTTTCCTCCCATTCCCTTCTCTGGTTTAATTTCCTGAGAGGTCTTCTGCCCATTTAATTTTTTCTTTTGTGGAAGAAAAAAAAAGCACAGAAGCAGGAAGCAAACAGAGCTTCCTAGAACCAGCATCCAAATAGTCCCCTCAAAACCCACAGCAACCAGGCTTAGAGCATAGCAAAAAAGGCAATTCTGCTACTTCACCTAACTACACTCATAAGAGAAAGAAAAGGAAAACAAGTTAAAAAGCACAATTTTCTCCTTACCTCAAACCCTCACCGAGTCCTCCACCCACGTCAGCTTCAGTCAAACAAGCTTGCTGGAGCAAAGGGAATGTACAAGGGAATCCCCTAATTCAGGACAGCTGTCCCTGCCCTGACACCCCACCATGTACTTAGGGCATGCAGCTGTGGTCCCTCTTCTGCTAGGAAGAAAGACTTAATCCCTTTCCTGCTAATCCCAAATGAAGGCTACAGACATGAGAGCAGACAAAGTGAATGAGACCAATGACTTTTTATGAAACCTTGTGCATGTGATTGCTATCAACTTTACAGCTGAAACAGATTCGATGTCCAAACAGAAACAATTGCCAGACATTGCTCTTCACCTGTGAAGTGACCACACCACATGCTATTCCAGTTCCCCCTTTTTATTCCAGTTTTCTTCTTTTCTGGGATTTCAGCACCTGGCAATGAAACATGGTCTCCAGAGGTTCCTGAATGATGCCGAGTTCAGTAGATCCACATCATACAGAATAGAGATAACAGACGGTGAGTTTGCATTAGTGTGATGGTTCAAGACAGATAGACACTTCAAAGACAATTTCCCAAAGGCCCCCAAATTCAGTTCATCCTGCAGAGAGGTGCAGAACATGTGAAGTGGATTGCTTAGGTAACTTCAGAAGTATTACTCCATGTGCCAGAGGAAAATATCTCCCTGATAGCAAAGGTACCACCAGTAATTGCAAAAACCAGGTGGCAGAGAAAGATGGGGTAGGTGTTGCTATGGAATAGACCGTGTTCTTCATTCGGGTTAATGTGCTAGCTGAAGACGGAAGGGAGATTGTGCAAATCTCCCATCTTCTGTGAAGGCATTTTGCTCCCTCAGCCTCAATATTTCCCACACATATGCTCAATTCTAAGCCTTTGGACTTCGATCTTCTGTAAGGACCAGATCTCATTCTCCACTACACTACTGTACATGGGGGAAATTTAGTGGTTTACAATGGTTTTACTGGAAGAACAAAAAGTCCCATGTGGAATTATAGAAAAAGGATTCTGTAAAGAAAAAAAAAAACAACAAACAAACAACAATTTACAAAAACACAGGGCCCAGCCTGAAGCTTACTGTAGCCTATGTGAATCAGGAGTAACACGGAAAGCTGATGAATTTAAACGGATAGAAGTCAGAGCAGAAGAAGAAAACGGATCTTTTAGCCTTGTAAAAACCAGTATGTGTATTTATCCAAAGGCATTAAGAAGGGGGTTTAGTTCCCACTAGTGCCAACAGCTGCCCCACACTCTCACTTTTCACATGATATCAATCATACGGCCTCAAGACACCTTCATTTTCCCATCAAGAGAGAGCTGCATCTGCTGTTAGCACATTTCAGATCTTATTTTGGATTCTGGTTTGCCCTGTAAGCTCCTGCATGCCATTTGGCAAGGGTTTACGTCATTACACGCAATTAATCTGTGGCCTTTTCTCTTTGGATTGGGAAGAACAAGCTACAACTGTACTCAGCACACACCCTCAGTGGGCTGCAGCTTTTTATCCTGCATCTGGATCTGCTCACTGAGGAAACCAAGCACTGTAAATATATTTTAAAAACACCAAGACTTGTAAACGCTGCAAGAAATATTACTGTCTCTAAGGGATTGAGGAGAAATATGCCCTTTCACAAATGTGAACCGTCTGACCCCAGCAAAGATAAAAAATAAAGAACAAATGAGGGCAAGAAACCGCTATTGCTTGCAGTTGGCTTAATCCTAACTGCAGTACATTGACCTGATGCCACTAGGATTACATCTAATGTCACTGCGTGTTGACCCCTCTTATAGATGTCAGAGGTAGATAATCCCTTCATATTTCCCAGTAGCTGGAACTTGTGTGGGCTTCAATACTGTAATCAGATGGACAACAATACTAGAGGCTTTCTGGTACATGGCTACACGGGAATGATCAGTTTAATTAATTTCTGGGTCATTATAGGAATCAATGCTGGTGTTGTGGCCCATTAAACTACTTTGGTTTGCCCCAGAGCACTTGGTCATTATTAGGTCAGAGTCAATAAGCCACTTTGCACCACCGTTATTAATAGATGAAAGAGATTTTGGAGGAAAAGGAGAAAAAAAAAAGGATGGATTTTGATCTCACTTAGATCAATAATTTCCCAGAAATTGGTGGAATTCCCTGATGCAAAATCAATGTGAGCAAGCTCAAAATTGAGTTGTTTTGCTTTGTCAAGAAGATGAAACTGAGAACTCAGGCTGTGCCTTTAAAGAGAGATGTTTATAGATTAAATATTATTTGCAATATCTGCTCCCCAGAGATTTTCTCCCCATTTATAACATTGAAATATCCGTGTTCAAGGGAGGAGAGGATAGAGGGATTTTGCACATCTGCCTGAACAGAAACTTTGATAGTGCTTTAGGTCAATCATTATTCACAAAAATATTTATTTTATCCTCTATCCTTACTTAAGATAGAGTAACTGTTGCTCCATTTAAAACCAGTATTTTCATTTAGGGCACAGCATTGGAGACATCTGATGTTTATTCCCCATGGTTTTAGCATTAGCCTAACATCCCTACCATGTAGTCTGGTCCAAATGTCACCCATGGGGATGTATCTTTAAGTGAGCAGCCCCATTACCCCATCCATTTTGTGTAAATGCATTATGATTGCAGGTGCACTTTTGAGTGCTATTAGCATCAGACTATCTCACCCTGGGCTATAACATTCTATGGGATAAATCCCAGTGTGACAGAGATGGTGGCAGCCTTTAGGGACCCCTGGAGAGAAAAGCTGCTGAAGGATATATAGATGGACCAATTCCATACAGTAGGTGTTTCCAAATCTTACACTGAAATATGTACATAGGTAAAATAAGCTTTTTTTTTTTTTGCTAGTGATCTTCTTAAAAAGTTCCAAAATGCTTTTAGATTCCTAACTGGCAAATACCAAAACATATTTCACACAGGACTAGAAGATGTGTGTAAAACCACACATAGTAGGCAAGTGCATGCTGTTCTGAGTTCAGACAGAATTAGTTTGTATGGCACCACTCAGTAAAACAGCAGGTTGTAAAATCATAGTTATATGCATTAACTTGCTATGCACAAGCAAAAGAGGATCCCCTTATGCCTGCAAATTAACAAGTTATAGAGAGCTCTTCCTTCAAGTCCAAGCAGGACAAGGGATTAGTGAAACTGTTTTCACCTCCAAAGTTTGAACTTGTGTTTGACCACTCATCCGAGGAAGGTGTGAGTCAGTCGCATAGTCTTACACTTGTGAACATAATAAAAACCATGAATGCTACAAGACAGTGAAGCACACCTTCATGTAACAATCTGCCACTGCTTAAAATTTCAAAGGAAGCTTTTGGTGAAAGAATAAGGTGGTGTGCTGACTACAGTCCCTGAGAGCTCAGCATACCTCCAAGTCCGTGGTATCTGTGCAGCAAGTCAGAGGCTGAGATCTTCAAAGGGTACAGGCAGGGACTGCTGCAGCATTACCCTCAGTATGAACCTGTGGGCACTTGGTTATTTTATAGTAATTGCCTGTTTCTTGCTGCTGTAGCATTTTCTGTATACAAGAAAGTTCCCTTCTTAACTGAGGTACTGCTCATCTACTGGGTAGCTGATAGCAGTTCTTAGGGGTAGTCAAAAAGCTGCAACTTCAACACCTCTTTTTCACTGTAGTGATTTGTTAAGCTCCTTGTTCTGTAAGAAAGTTACAGCCCCAACAGCACTTTATAATCACTGATAACTGGTAATGGTGCTCCCCCGAGCTTCTTTGAAAACCCTAGCCAAAACTGTCATCTCCTTTAGTTATCAACTATCTCACTGACTTACAATGTAAGCCTATAAGATGGAAACACTAAGAAAAGTCATTCTACTACAGTTTTCAGGTTTGGGTTGGTTTTTTTTTTCCTTTCTCTTGCTTTTGGGGATCTTTTTTCTTTCTGCAAAATAGTACATCTGTGCCTGCTGTAGTTCATTTTAGAGTTTTGACATTTGGCAAGCCCCCAGAAGCCCCAAGTGTTCACTAACAGTATGAGCCAATATGCAGCAAGGGGACTGACAGTGTGACACTGAACCCACCTCTTTAGGCTGAATCTTTGCAAAGAGGGAAAAAATGTGATAGCTGAGAAAAGATGCACATAGAAACTTCACACCCATTCTGCCCACCCAACTGAATATCAGCTCCTGTCCCTATTTCAACTCTTCTGCGGTTAATGGATGCTTTGTAATGAATGTTGACTGTTAGGATGAGAAGCACTGTCAGCATGGAGTAAAAGTTGTGATTCAGAACACAGATTAGTTTCCAAATTATCTGTAAAAAATACTGGAGCATCATTATAAACCTGAAAGGGCTTTTGGCAATTCAATCTCCAACACCATTTATAAACTGTTTTGCTACAGCTACCTAAATGATGGTAGTGACAGCAAGATGTGATGACAAATTTTGCTCTGTGGACTCAGAGTGGAATTCTTTGCCTCTACCTTTCACCATCTAAGGAAAGTAAAATTATCACTGCTGTGAATTTTATGTGAGGGTGCACTAGAGGGTTGAATGAGTCCAGCTTTGAAGGTTAAGACAGTTCAGGCCTGAGCACAGTAAGTACCGTTTATCAGACTTTTCAGAGTGCCAATCAGTGCATGAAGCTAAACTCCATGAGACAGAGCAGCAGCTCTGCTGCCTTACAGGTGTATCTGTTTCTGACGTAACACATACCTGTGTTTCCAAAAAGCCACATGAATTGGTATTGTGTGCATTTTAATGTTTTGTTTGTTCTCCTTCCTTCTAGAAGAGTAATTATGGTCTTAACTCCTCTCATTCATTAAATCAAACCTTGCTCCCAGCACAATGATGAGCATTCACCACTAGATATACTTGCTCCTGCGCTGAGACTTTGTCGGCTCAGTTTCAGCCCAAAGCAAATTTTTCTGGCTGGGTTTATAAGCTCTTTAATAT